CAAATAAATTTTTAAGTTACTCTTATACTTACTTGTTACTGTTTTCCCTGTCGCTTGTAAACTATATTATTAATTTTTTGTTCACTCTATTAAATATATGCCATCAATTATGTGCTAAATCGTGTGTTTTAAAGTTCTATTATGCATATACAATTATAAAAAAAAAGAAAGGTGACTATATTTATCATCTTTTTTCCTCTTTTCTCAACGTCAAGTTCTACGTTTTTCATTTATCAGTGATTGAAAATATACCTGAAACGTTCAGAATGTTTCTTGAAATATAAAATATTGGTGTAAACTCAAGTTCTTAGTTTTCACATAACGAATTTTTGAAAAACTTGTCGTTTGTTAAAACTTTTTTTAGAAGTAATAGTCGTATGACTTCTTAGATGATACAATGACTTATCAGCACTTTATATAACAGGAGAAGACTTTTCTTGTTTATAATGAACACACATAGCTGTCAACTTGACTGCCATAGTCCTTTAAGGGTACGAACTGCATCCAGTTTTGTTCTAACAACATCATATAACTCTAACATTAATCTTTGAAATATATGTCAGATAAGACTATGAGCCGCATACTTTGTACCTGTGATACTTTTTCTTTTTTACTTATCTACACTTGTTTTTTGTTGACTGGATTCTAATGAGGTTTTAGTGAGAAAATGATTTTTGACACTTTTTCTCAGTTCATCCGAGTCTTTGACACCTTCCAGATAATCATTTAATTATTTTCTTTTGAAATGGGCAACAACTTTATGCTAAATTGTATAGTTAATGCAGCTATGTGAAATAATAACATTCTTTTATATTGTGACAATATTTCAACCTATTATGGTTATTATCAAGTCAATACAAATAATTGTAACCGACCTTTTGTTCGTTGTTTTGTATCTCAAGAATTTTGGTATATAACCATTCAATTGACATGTTTTCAACAACCGTATATCTAATACTAACTTCTCCTTCCTTGTACGTAACTTCATAACCGATCAATAAAAAAATAAGACATCTGGTCCATAATGCTGCTTTATGTATAGATAAATATTTTCTTTTGAAATGGGCAACAACTTTAAGATAAATTGTATAGTTAATGCAGCTATGTGCAATGACAACATTCTTTTATGTTGTGACAATATTTCAACCTATTATGGTTATTATCAAGACAATACAAATTACAATTGTCATCACAAAATTATTTGTATTGACTTAATAATGACCATAATAGGTTGAAATATTGTCACAACATAAAAGAATGTTGTCATTGCACATAGCTGCATTAACTATACAATTTATCATTCAATTAATTTTACCCAGATCGCATCTAAAGGATATAGCTCTGCTTGATAAAAACGATATTTTCCCAAAATCTATAGATTCTGAGTCTATAGACTTAGAACAAGGATAAAGTTTGATATAGCAAAAAAGACAATGAAAAACTGACCAGAATGTTAGATGAACCTTAGTAAGGTGAAAAGAGAAAGAGTTCATTTTGGAACATCTCGTATCTGTTGTCAATCAGAGAGTGCTCATATTCATCTATTTTCTCTCATGAACCAGAGAGGATACAACTAGTCTTGACGAAATGAAAATACTGTTCGAGTTTTGGTACATAATCGTTGTTGATCAGTATAGGCATCATACCTTTTTGCTTGCCCTAATTGAAAAACACTGAAAACACTTGAAGTTGAAAAACAAATTACTTCTCTTCATGGCCCGCAATATTTTAAAAAAATCTTTAGTTCTGTAGATATAGTCAACGAAGAAAGTAGTATCAGTCAATAAAAGTGGTTCGAACACATTTTTTTTTTTGTATTAATACCTTAATGTGGTACAGAAGAGAAGTAAAAGATTTCCGCTCAACGACATTTGAAACAAGATTCATCTGACTGCGCTAAGTCTCTACATATTGTCCGAAGTATATACTATAAGAACACCCAAAAAAGCCCGTAAAATTACTGAAGGGAGAAGAGAAAAACGTTTTAGAAAAAAAGAATCAAACTCACATAATGAAAAATACAACTGAAAAACACGATATCGGTACAATTTTTTAGGTACAATGGCTAGGACCAATAATATGAAAGGTTACTTTATTTAGCATATTGTCGAGTTTTTCAAGAGTTAGCGTTCTATACAAAGACTAGTTGCATCCTCTCTGGTTCGTGAGAGAAAATAGATAAGCACTCTCTGATTGACAATAGATACGAGATGTTTCAAAATGAACTCTTTCTCTTCTCACCTTACGAAGGTTCATCTAACATTTTGCTCAGTTTTTCATTGTCTTTTTTGCTATATCAAGCTTTATCCTTGTTCTAAGTCTAGATTTTGGAAAAAAAACGTTTTTATCACACAGAGCTATATCCCTTTTTAAATTAACAGCAGCCATAGACTAAACTGAAATCTATTTTCAGTCTATGGCTACTGTTAATTTAAAAAAGAATATTCTAATCAAATTAGTGGCTCTTAATCGTTTTAATGTTCATTCTTATCTCCGGCGGCACTATGAGCCTAATGTTAGTTAAAAAATAGATTTCAGTTTAGTCTGTGACTGCTGTTAATTTAAAAAAGAATATTCTAATCAAATTATTGGCTCTTAATCGTTTTAGAGGTGTATCCTTTAGACGCGATCTGAGTAAAGTTAATTAAATGATTTTCTGCATGGTGTCAAAGACTCGGATGAACTGAGAAAAAGTGTCAAAAATCATTTCCTCACTAAAACTCCATTAGAATCAAGTCAACAAAAACCTATTTATCTTTTATCGTACGATATAAAGGATGAGACGACACCCATTTTCTAGCACGTTAAAAGCTCTATTAATCGGTTAAATGTAAAACGTTTCATAATTACAAGCGGTTGAGCAAGAATTCCTTTTGTTTTCTTTTGATTTTTCCAGAATTTATCATTCAAACTGCAGCTCTGGAGCACTTAGGGAAATTTTTTATAGCTCAGCAAGATCAAACATGTTGAGATCGGGTTTTTACTTTAAAGCAGAATAATGCTTCTATTACTTTTGAAAAAAAAAAAGTCCAATAGTATCATATCTTCTCCTCTACGAAAGCGAAAAAGTCAAATTTTCCCTTCTTCCGATGAATTATAATAAAATCACTTTGTGTAAGAAAATACATTTACAGCAGATCTATGATACGCGAAAAGAAAGATCACACTTTGGAGCACAATAGCATACCCTTTGATTTCACTCTGATGTATAGATAGCATCATGCTCAAAATAAATCCATTTTGCATAGTCTTTTGGATTGGAAAGTAATTGAGATGGAAGCTTCGCAATATTTCCTCCATATTTTCCTACTTTTAAAGTATATAAAAAAATGTTCAATATGTGTTTTCTAGAGAATGAAATAGCGCATCTTTTAAAGGGGAAATTAAGTTTCTAAAATAAAAGGGGAAAACGCTATAGTTAAAATACTGAGAGACTCATTATTTCTGGATCACACGTTACTATCAATGGTGGACAGTACAAATCTTATCACTTGACTATGTATGAAACAACTTCTGATAAATATGTTGTGTTTATTGTAGAGAGACAATATCATAATGTGAAATAGTCCGAGTTAACCGAAATCTTATTTTGCAAAATTTCTTCGTGTATTTTGAGACTCTCGGTTATTATTAAGCATGAGAAAATGAGACAAAATCACATGTATAACGGGTGGTCTATACGAAATGGGTCATTTTTGTTTTTTCTCAACCGTATTTCATACATTTGAGTTGATTTAAACCGCAGCAACAACAACAAGTAGAAAGAGCATTTCGCTGTTATTTATACGACAGGAAAATGAAGCAATAACATATCTAACATATACTTCAAAACTGTTATATTAACATAAAAAGTCAATAAAATATTATTGTTCCAAGAAAATAAAAAATTTCCGGCTGAAATATGATTTAAGAAAAAATACCACTAAACACATGACGTTTATACAGGTAGAAAAAAAATGAAAAAGATAAATGAAAGTGGAATTGTACGTGCATTTTTTAGACATTTTGCTGAAAAATAATTTCATAGCTAAACGAAATTGATTTTGCGCTAGATATTTGACTTTTAAAAAAAGGTGACTTATTGGCGATATTTTCTTGATTATGCGAGTGAAAGTTTACGTCAGTCAGCTGCCTACCTCTATTTTTCGAGCAAAAGTTTTCCCGTTCAATATTCAAATGATACTAATGTTGAACTCATATTTAATGAGTAACATGTTTTTGGGATTCTCTTTCTTCAGAGCACTGTGTTCACGTACGAAGTTTACGTGATGAGTATAGTTCATGAGAATCTGTGACCTTTTAAAAAAAATTTGTGCTCTCTTTAAATAGCTTGAAATCTCAATTCTGAGGGAGCATTTCATGTTGGAGTTGCCACACCCGTTCCAAACACGACATTTTCGCTATTAATTCAATTTACTGAATCCATTATTCGAAGAATGTATTTAGGTGTGCGTGAAATGCTCAGAACCCCATTATACACATATAATATCATTTAAGTACCTAAAGAAAAAGCTCTTTACAAAGCATACTGTAGAAAGCATTCATTAAATATATGGTCATTTTCATAGGAGAATGTAATCTAGTCTTAGAATAGTTGGATGAATAAGCACTAACGCTGACTTTCAAACTCAGCTTTAAAATTTGTTTCTCAATAAAAAAGTTAACGTTGAACACTCTGTTAGAAAGAGTATACTCGATTATATGTCTCGGTCATATGTCTAAAAGAGCAGTCAGCGCTGAAATGTGTTTTACGGATCTATGTATCTAGTAATACTGAAAATATTCTCGAAACATTTTATCAAACCGAAATTAACTGGATAAGAGATGAAAAATTGACTTATATTCCCTGCACATTTAGGAATTTCAGCATAATATATGCTGCAAAACAGCGTTATAAAATAAAGTATAAAAAAACGAAGGTCACTGTATCACTGTTGTCACATTATCATTTAAAGAATTCACTGTGTTCAGATCTGAGAATGACGATATATGTATGTATTTTATAAATGTTCAGAAAAATAGTTTTCTTCTTCGGAATTTGCATGATACTGATTATCATCTGTCGGATAAACTTTAATTTGTTGTTTATCATCATATTCTTGATGGTCATTGCCGCCAATTGCGACACTGTTCGTTGTCGTTATAACGTCGGATGACGGTGCCAAACCGCCATGGGTCACATCTCCACTTTGAATTTGAGCAGTTACTTCTCTTTGAGAATATGACGGTGATGGTGTGGATGATGCTGATTTTTTTCTGTCTTCTATCGCTAATTCATCTTTATCTGATATTTTTTCACGAACTGGTGGCAGTCGATGTTGAGCTATCCGCACACGATCATCATCAACATCCTCTTCATCCGATTGTTCAGGTAGAGTACCATATGGTTCAGCCATTGAACGTTGTCTATACTCTTCTCTATAGCTACTTATTGGATGTCTTAATGGTTGTTGCTCACTCGAACGTCGCAATATACCCTGTACTCTACCAACTTCACTACCTGTCTCAACTTCATGTAATTCATACACACTGTGTATTGTGGATTGGCAATCATAATTTGACGGTGTAAACCTTACAGAACGCGCCACACTACCACTGGCTATTGAGCTTCCGTCATTACCACCTCCACGACTTCCATCTTTACGAATATTTCGTTTAACAAGAACAGAACGACGTCGACGAAACTTTTTACTAATTGATGATGGCATTACTTCAACCTAGAAGGTCAGAATACGCAATTTACTTTAAGAGTCTTTAGATTAAAATATGCAAGAAAATCGATAAGGGTATCCGACGATGTTGTAAATTTGGACAAAACTAGCAAAATGTTGTCCATTTGTCTACAAATTTCAGACCTCATTTCCTTTTCGCTAGATAGATGTATTCACTAATTTCAGTATGTGTATTTACTTAGGAAAAAAAAGTGAAAATCATATCTCCGAGAACTTTCGAGTGCTTGTCGTACCAAGGCCAAGCATTTTGTGAGACATTTAAAAGACAAGTTCGTAAACAATAAACTCTTCTATCATCAGAAACTACCGTGCGTTGTTAAACATTCTTTCACGAAGTGGTTTTGATGGCCAGAATGAGAGAAAATTTCTGACCTTTAAAGGATGATATTTGCATCGACCAATATATGTCACCGCCACTGATTAGTAATCTTGTTTTACTTACAAATCGTTCTTAGTGATAGATGGATGCATTCTGATACCTTCGTTCAAATCTGACAACATCATTGAGCACCTCTTATCGACCTTCTTCAAAAATTATACCTGAACCATGGTACGTGTCAATGGGAACTTCTTTGTTTCCGGCAAAAGCAAAGCTAATGCACCGAGTACGAGTGATAAAAGACCGTACACTAGACGATGCGTCCAGTCATTTAGTCCACCCTACAACAGATAAAATATAGAAAAAAGGACGAGAATTTTTACACTCACAATAAACTTACGATATTTTCTGAAGCAAGTGCCATACCAATAAATCGAAACATATAACAGATGCCAAGTGTCGTACATCTAAAATTTTCATAGGAAACGCAAAGATCTTGTTAGAGTAAAATATTTCTACAACTGACTATGTACCTTAAACCGGTTGGAAATATTTCACATGTATACAATAGAACAACAAGAAATGATCCTCTAGCTGCAAATTTTCCAGTAAAATAAATTACTAACAATGTCGCACGACTATATTCACTTTCTAAATTGAAAATTATTTTTAATTATCTGTCTCTTAGTGTCAAAATAAGATGATACCAACCGAGTTTTCCAATAACAGAGCCTAACAGACAAACTTCACCAATTAAATAGAAACAAAACGTCGGCCATCTTCTTCCACATCTAAAAATTTAAAGCGTATAATAATGACGCGTATGAGAAATTACAATATAGTCACTTGTAAACAAGTTGAAATGCAACTAAAAATGAAGAAATCTCAATCAATTGTCGATAAAAATAATTAAGAAAATAATGTTCTGTTAAATTTTCTGCTAAACGCGATGTATCTAAACTATATTCAGTTAATGCACTGACTAGCCTAAAACGATAGTAAAAAAAATGTATTAATTATACATAAAATTACTAAAATCATTGAATGTATTATTTGTATTATTTCAAAAATATTCAAAAAAATATTATTATCGAAGTAACTCAAAAGTATTCGTAGTTTTGCTGCAAAAATAGAATTTTACAAATGATAGACACATACCACAGTCCACATAATACTAGTAGATAAATTGTTAAAATAGAAGAATGAAGATAGTCGGTTGGATAAAATGCTGACATTGTTGGAGAATAATGATGTCCTGAAATTAAAAAAACATTTAATAAATAAATATTTTCGGAAAACGAAATAACTATTACCAGTTATAATATTTAATAGACGTTGTATTGTTGTATCTTTTTCTGATGATCCACGCAAATCAAGCATATCAAAATCAGGATATTTTATTCCAAGCGTGGCTATATCTTCTATTTAAAAAAAAATGAAAACTGTGTATTTCTCTTCTTTTATTTTGTTCTCTCTTCACATACCTAATCTTAATAATGGTTGAAAATCACATTGAATGGCTTTTGAACGTTTACCACGTAAAAAAACATTTGCTTCTGGAAATAAATTTTGAAATGTTACACCATTATAAGTGGCTATTTTTGTTAGAGATAATACAGCTGATATATAATCTTTTTGTGTTGTAAACCAAAATATTGACTCTTCTGTACACCTTTAAAAACAAAATAAAAAGAATATATTAAAATATTCTTGATGAATATTAAAAGTAAAATTTACCATAACAAAACAATTGTGCCAATTAATGGTATTGTTATAACAATTTGTAAAATTTTCCAGTTTTTAATTAAGAATGCTAACCATGGTAAAGCAAGATCAAATATGAATACAGCACCACTCAGCGATAAACCATAAATAGCTCGAGAATTAATTGGAAACATTTCGATAACATACGGTACTAATATTACTTGGACAGAACCAACAAATATACCCACAAAAAATATAAAAAATATGTAAGATGTGTAATCATCACTTAATAACTGGAATAAGGATAATACACCAGTAGTCCATATTGAACCTACAAATACAATTGATAGTAAGATGACATGTAAATGTTACAATAAAAAAGCAGCATGTTTTAACTTGCATCCTCTAATCAACTGAGAGTGTTCATTTTTATCCTACCTAATAAAATCATTTTTCTTCCACTATAATCAGCCATATAACCGAATACTAATCCACCAATTATTAAACCCAAAATATAAGCAATATATGGAATCTTTACTTTGACATCGTTACACATAATTTTGAACTAAAACAAATTATTTAGTTATTAACAACATATAAAAAATGTGTAAGGCTTTATACTTCGGTAATAGCTGTTGGACCATATTCTCTACTATAAGAATATTCAGGTACACGTTGGCGCTGTTTAAGTATTGTGATATTTTCATATGAGGATGTTGTTGATAGATTATAAGTAAGTATCGGTAAATTTATTTCATTATTTTTTGTGCAATTCAGATCTTTTGGTGGTAAAACTGTATAAAAAAATATATAACTTTTAATTAATTCAAATAATTTAAAATGATATACATACGAGTAAAATTCGGTGCATTATTGATCCATGATACAATCACAGCATAACCAAAACATAAAATTAAATATGCGCGTAATTGATGTTTACCAATAAAACCAGTGTAGGTACTTTTCAATGCTTTATCCGAATCCCAACTTTTTTTTATATTTTTAACAGTTCTTACTGCACGTACCATAATTGTACTTGTGGGACTAGGATTAAGTGAGAAACCAAGTGGTTCTAAATAAACAAAAAGGACTTTCGTTTATGATTCATAGAGGATGGATTGATCTGTTTAGGTTACTAAGAAAAGACTTATTACCAAGCTGTAATTATTAAATTTAAATCTACAGCTTTGTATTCATATTTATTTCATTAACTAAATGTACGACAAGTTCTGTACGAACTTTTCGGATATTTTCAAGATTAAATATTGTATTAGTATGAAAACGATGTTAAAATATCTAGATCACAGTACAGTTTTAAAATTTCAAAATTGTGTCACAAGTAGCTAAGATTGATATGTAGAAAGCATCATTTGAGTTATTTTTACAAACAACACACAACAACAAAATGCAAGCAACTTTTAGGATCGATGAAGAACTGGAGGCAGATCTGTCTCCATTGGGAGCTTACGTTATTCTGTCTGTAATGCTGAAAGTTTGTATATATAATCAACGGAGAATATTTGGGAGCCCTTGAAGCGCTTTTATCTGAGTGTTAGTGGATGTTAGTGCGAAGTATTTTTATATTAAGTAAATCTGATTTCAGATATCTAAGCATTAGTGGATCTTTCCATAAATTTTTAATTTAAATTTGCAGATAAACAAACAAACACCCTCCAAAATCAAATTTCAATGAAGTCATTCGATAGAGCGCGTCGGGTTATCTGTGAAAAGACCCACTAATACCTAGATGTCTTCTTTTAGTAATATTCAAATACAAGAGTACGTTCACTATGTTCTCTAGTCAACATACAAATTTTTGGAGCGCCAGAAATCCACAACTCATTGTCGAAAAACCAGTGGTTGATAGTGCCATTTTGTGGAGAAACATCAATTCATCCATATCCACAAATTTTTACAACTAATACACAAATATTCTTAAAGTGATGGAAATTGATAATTAAGTTCGTAACCATTATTATCTAAATTAAAAAGGTTTATCAGCTTAGCCTTTACGGGCTAATATTTTGTCTTAAAAATGTTGTTTTACTACATTACCATCCATTTCAGAACAGAATGTAGTCCATTAATTTTCGAATAACTTTCGATAGAAAAGAGATAAGAAGCTGCAATTTTCAGTTCTGAAGACGAGAGAAATGTTGGGTTATGATACTATGGAAAAAGAAAAAAAATAGCACTTGCAGGTAGCAGACCTGACCCATGCATTTTGAAGAAGGTTTCCATTCACTAAAAAGGTTCCTGATTTTGAATGCCTGTGAATACATTCGAACCATCAGACATTGCTCTGCAAAACTATGCAAGTCTCACATTTCCATGTATTAACGTTCGATCGTGGTAGGGATGCTCCGAAGAGTCCAGGATTCGGTGATCTTTAGGTTTGAGAATCTCAGAAATGAATGGAAACATAGGTTATCGACTATACTGGATCTCAAGGCGATTTTTTGTTTTACTATGAACCTACAGGAATTTACCGTGCAGTTGTAAAACACCAAATACCCCAAAATCACCACGGGGTACAGTAAAAACTAAAAATTTTATAACTCGATGAAAATACATCCAGATCAGCTGAATATTCCAGTATAGTGACAATTCGGGAAGGCATGCATGATCGCTGTGCCGGAAAGGAAGAGAAAAATATTTTTAAATCTTGAATTTTGAGAAGGTTTTCTGTAAAAGCGTGTTTTACTCATTTGACTCTGACAACATAAAGACTCTACCACGGCCGAACGTTGATAGATGGAGACGTAAGACTTGCATAGTTTTGCAGAGCAATATCTGATGGTTCGAACGTATTCACCGGCATTCAAAATCAGGAACCTTTTTAGTGGATGGAAACCTTCTTCAAAATGCATTGGTCAGGTCTACTACCTGTAAGTGCTATTTTTTTTCTTTTTTCCATAGTATCATAACCCAACATTTCTATCGAAAGTTATTCGAAAATTAATGGACTACATTCTGTTTTGAAAGGAATAATAGTAAGAATTGTTACTCCTGGTGAAGAGGTAACTTTTTAGAAAATATTCGATATCCATTCAAAGTTTTTAAGAGAATGTCCCCTCCTAATCTGAGGTTATAAATTGTCTTTTTTACTATGGATTCTCGTCTTTAAATCTCAAACTTCCGTTTTTTCTGTGAAATAACGACGAGAAAATTTTCATAAAGCAAGGAGCTTCCATTGTTAAACAGAGAAAGTCACATTGCTCGTTCTTATAGAATGTTCAAGTACCATGATAAACTCCTTTTTAGAGTTATAATTGGTCCTCATCTTATATGGTATTCTCAAACAACCACAATGTTCAAAACATAACAGTTATAATATTATTCAGACGCTATTTCAGGGAGAAAGGATCGATTTATCGCTCAAAAAACATTGCCAGAGAACAAAACAATCCTTAGACACTCACTACTCATAAAGTTCTACAAAAAAGTACAAAGTTGTAATATTTTCTTGTGTGAAATACGAGAAACTTAGAATTAATCAACACCAACCTACCGAAATTTTATCAATATTTTACCTTAGATAAGTATAAGTAATAACTATGCAACCTAATTTGCTCCAATAACGTACGTGGGATTACGTTAAAACTGAAAGTATAGTGATTACCTTTAACAGTTATTTCTTCTTGTTCTACTTAGTATTAGTAATACACTAAATAGCTGAATATTAATAATATCAGACGATTAGATTTATCATTTTTACGCAAAAACATATCATTTTCGTCCAGCTTGAAATATACGTGATAGTTAAAACAATATATATTTGATAAATTTCCAGAAGATTCATTGTCTTCTTTATCAAAAAGATTTTCTTCTTTACAAATCTGAACAATCAAAATAAGGTAAAAAATAGTAGATGAAACATGAGTATACCAAATTTTATTTTTATTTAGTATTTCTTATTATCGTAGTTCTGTACGTCGTTAGTAGACCAGAAATTTTGATTTTTTAGAAAAAAGTATCTTAACAATTTATATGAAAGTTAGCATTCCTAATTAGATTTTTAATGTGCCGAATATTAGCACTACAACTATCTGAATGTGGATGTGTAGTAATATTTTATACCGCTTTTTTTACATAATATAAGGATTGACTCTTGAATTCTTTTCTACGAATGATTATAATTTTTAGTGCTATATCTATCAAAATGAATGATCATAATTTGATTTGATCATGGGTAGCGCAAGAAATTAATTTTCTCATTCTACGTAATATTTAGTTTTGTTCTGCCAGAAGTCATTCAAATTTGATTTCAGCAGTAATGAAGAAATTAGAGAAAAAGAGAGAAAAAAAATGACAGACCTTGATTATTATTATGAAACCATGTTAAATTCCTTTCTATAACCATAGTAAATATCAATGAAAAATAATTTTGTATTATCAGTTGATTATTATTATCATTATATTATCGCGCTACAGGATGGAATACAAAATACAAACGAAAGATAAATGAAATAATCTTATAAAATGAATTGAGAAAAAGAAAAAAAAGAAAATCAACTAGCGAAACAACTTCTATTCCCTCTCTTATTTTCAAAACAAAAAGAGTCACTCAATAGCTATTCCCAACACGTTTCGTGACCAGTCGTTTACTCAGTATAACTTGTAAAGTATTATGAGTGATGATACTTTTAGAAATCATTAGATTTCACTTTTCAGACTAGTTTCTAGAGATAGGAACGGTTCGATTGAACTCGAAAGAGTTCAAAAGTTTCTATTTTGATGTTTTTAAATTTTCAATGTGTAATGGATGGCATACTTTTTTTGTGTAAAGTGAAGTTCTTTCGTCGGTTTTAGCTATACATATAACTAACGTTTTCGTTTGTACGTATTGGTCAAGTAAAGTTAGGTAAATGCTGAGAGAAAGCACTACACTTAATGTTAGAAAATTGCGTTGATTCTAGACCTTTGTTTCTGACCTATCTTAACAATATGCCTCTTTTAATACCAGAGAATAAAAGTAAAGCGTTTCATAAGCATACCAGAAGCAGAAAAAAGATTAAGTTAAAATAAACGTTTTGAGTTGAAATACAAGAAAAACTAAAGCGAAAATTAATCTGTCATCATCAGGGCTGCCAGGTGTTATTCATTGATAGCTTTAGGAAATAAATGTAAAGTCTAAAACATTTTTTCGCTAATAAAATATCGATAAAATATTATTCGCACCAAATTCTTGACCAAATATTTGTTATAACTCATACACTTTCGAAACATCGAATCAACGATTAATAAAGTGTTTTATTGGTACTCTAATCAAGAATGATGGTCGTAAGTTTCTTGCTTTAGCGTAGGTATGATGCATTTTGTTTTTGTTGAAAAGTTTTTACTATCTATCAGAGTATATTATTTTCTTCTCTCCTTCTTATCACACTATGACGATTGTACCTTACATGAAAGAGATTAGATCGTACACGTCGAGTTATGTCTGTAATGCAATTTTCATTATCAGCCACTATTTTTACTGCTGTATGCAAATTTCAACTTTCATCTAGGTCGTTTTCATCTTTCATTAAGGTCGCTTACGTGAGACGACGGAGGTCAGCAAAGAACATCGTCATTAGGTGATCAGCACAATTTTGAAAACTCAAAAAGTGAATTATCCAGTGAAATATGATCTGCTATTTGCTTTTTATCCTGTCTCGCAGCTATAGCTTGAGCTGAGGCAGAGATGGGCGAGTCCGAGTCACATTTGTCTTTGACTCGGACTGGGACTCGAGGTGAAAGACTCGATAAACTTGATAAACTGACTCGAGTCACTTACGAGTCAGCCATGTACAACGTGGGATTGTTATGACGGTGTTTATTATATTTGTTATGTATCAGAAGAGAGAGAGAGATTTGAGAATATTCTAAGTAGAACATCGCGTCACATGAGAGGATTGAAGAACTGTTCTTGGAAAAATGAATCAGGAGGAAGTTTTCCTGTAGAAAATGACTTGAAGTGACTCCAGGTGACTTGAGTCAATTTTTGATGCAATTCGGACTCGGACGTCGACTCGAAGGCTATTGACTCGGACTCGACTCAGACGCAAAAAATTAGTGACTCGCCCATCTCTGAGCCGAGGTCAAGATTTTAGTAAAACCGACAATTTAGAAACGCACAAGATTCAAACCTGGTGACGGAGACTTTACTATCAACGCTTCATCTGATCAATATGGTTCATTCGGACTTTATGTTTACTATATTATGTAGAGGTGTTTGCGGACGAAACTTTGTGACGAGCTACAATTCGGGAGATATATCGGAAACTGTTTTTTCCAGTTCTCCTAGTCATAGGTGAACTCGAATCTTAATCGCGATAAGTACAGTTTTTCTGACTTAAAAAGTTAACAGTCTGGTTCTGAAAAAACATGAACCGATTCTACATTACATACCTGAAACCTGATCCGGCCCTAATATTGTACATTACGAACTATTTTCTGCGACTATTTTAGATTGATAATAAGCTGAGTTGAAGTTATCTGAAGCAGCGATTCTCACACAATTATCAAGAACACATGCAAGTCTCTATCTCCTGCAACTGGTACCTCTTTCCTCTTCTTAATCTCTATATTTTAGTGATCTCATCCTTACTGAATTCTTTTCCTTGTATAGTATCGTTCAGTTAAATTATATGCTGCTAGTGAGCAATTTAAAAAATAAAAACTGTTAATTTCTAACTATCTTTTAAAAATAGTCAGAGTGTTGAGTTTAGTAAGGGAAAGCCATTTGCAGACAAAAATTTCACATTTTAAAGATTTTCTCCTTAACATAATTTCGCTTTTCATTGCATCAAACACATAGAATCATTTCTACTGGATCACCTTTTTTATTCTATATATCAACTTGATCAAGCATGACATTTTTAGAAATTGTGCAGACTAGTTCACTTTAATTTCTCTAAACTCTAGACAATCACCAGTTTTATCTAGGAAGGTTTTTAATCAGTCAGATCCAATGGATAAATATGCTTTTCCCACTCAAATGGCCATATGTAAAATTTCTATTGAATTAATTATATATTCTTTTTCAGTTAAACAAATTTTACACGATTTGACGTAAAGTGTGTTGCGGAAATATAATATAAGTAAAAAAAAGAATCAGAAGTAGTACTCGAGAAAAAAAATTCACTTACAATTTTTATCTCCAATCGTCATCTGATTTTAATGACTTTTTTTTCTTTGACTGCTGGTAGTGGGATAAAAACTGGACATTATCTTACTCTCAAAATAGATAGCATAGACAACTGATGGAAATAGATAATATAACAAAAGTTCATTTTGACGTAGTAAGATTGAATCATAAGAAATGTACAAACAGTGAATGCTTGTGGTCTGATGGAAGAATGCTTCTTTTTTTTTTTCTTTTTTTTTACAAGAAACAACCTGTCTATTATGTGCATATATGTATCATATTTTGATGCAACAATTTCCCTCTCTCCTATCAGTACTTTCAATAGCGATGAAGTACTGGTGTTAAAAAAAAAAGAAGCATAAAAATAATATTAATGGCTCTGTTAAACAGGAAAAAAAATTTTTTTGATTCTCTATTCGTTTATTTCGTTTGCTTTTCAAAGTATTGTAATCCCTAAAGAATAAAAAAAAATTACTAGAAAATGTGCATAACTGAAACATTCACTCGTTTTCGGTGGTTATATACTAGTAGTGAAAAAATTAAATAAACAATGAAAAACACGAAAAAAATCTGTTCGCTCGTAGTAGAATAAAACCGATCTTCAAAAGTATATAATAGTGAAACGTGAGGAGGTTGATTTTCTTCAGTCAAATAAAAATAGAAATCGCAAAAAGAAGTAAACAATGACTATCAAACATTTCCGGACAAGGTAAAATGTACTTAGTCCACATTACATTAGCGACGATTAATATTTGTAACCAATCCCATTAGTTATAAACAGAAGTACTATATATTTCGCTTCTTGAGTCAAAAAGTGATATACATTCGAAAAATTAAACATAGTTTTGTAAAAATATATTCGAAAGCACCATCTGAACTAATAATAGAAACATACTGTCGACACATTGTTTGTTAATCATTAATAAGTATGATCTTTTTCAAAACATAAAACAGTTAACGAGCGGGACAAACGCAAAATAATTGATTACCTCATATAGCTTTAGACTACAGAGAATGAGAAAATGACAAAGATTCTATATTAATTCTGTTTTTTACTATATGAATTTGAGATAATTTTACAAACCTTGTTTTTATGTTTTTTCAACTATTTAATATCCGATGATTAATTCTATCATCCATAAATATCAATGGTTTTGTGAAAACTTTCTAATACATATAGCATTATATCAATTATATGTGAAAATAACATTTTGTTTTAGTTAGCGATTCGATTCAAGTACAAATGTTCTATTTGCATTTTGATATACATAATTCATAAATAAAACAAAAGTATGTACATGAATGATAATGTCATGTGAGAAGAATTAACCTAATCGGATAATGAAACCATTAAATTCAAAAAATAAAATGCATCTAAAAACAAAACATACTCTAATATCAATAAGAGAAATGAATTAGTTTAAATCAAAAGTGGCAGACATACTTTAGAATATGAATAAAATATACAAACTAACAAATATTGAATATAAATCAATAGATATTGTTCAGAAGAGAAAGGTTCATTATATACGAATAATGGCTCACAGATTATGTTTTTATCGTTCTACTAAACAGTTTTCATGTTCTAGTGCTCATAAAACAAAATGACCATTGAAATGTGGTGATGGGGGCTGTGCTTTTGAAATCTCCACTATGACTCGTAATCACGAAGATAAAACAAAAATCTGCATAAATAGTAAGATAAATTTATGGGTCTAATTATTTTAGCAATAAAGTCTATATGCTAAAAACTTTTTATAGCTTATACTTTATTAATGATTAATGGTTTTCAGAAATTATACTTCATCTTTTTCAACATAAATCTGTTTATTTTTATAATCACTTATTTTTTTTTTCCAGCATCGTTCGAAGTGATACTCTATTAGAGTATATAACTATTCTATCTCTCTCTCGTTTGAAACGAATTAACAGAACTACTACTGCAACTAATTTGATAGAGTTCTGATCACTGTTAATCCTATATACTAATATTCTCTATATAATAAACAGTACAACAGACAGTCATTGACATTTTACTCTGACAGTTCTGTCAAATATCAGTAAGACAAGGATCCATCCGTAAAGCGATTACTTTTTTCTTTTAAGTGAATATTAGCACTATTTGCTATTTTTTATTTTCCTTCGTCGATCATAAAGAACACAAATAGAAAATAATCAACATACACACAAGAACAGCGAACAACAACAGTTTAAAAACAATAGTAACAATACAAATTTCGTGTTTCATCCCTCTTTTTGTTTTCACGATATTACTATTTGTTTTAACATCTGCTTTCTTTGTACAAACTGAACAATAGCCACAGTGACAACCTGCCAGAATAAAAACAAACATATTAGCGTACGTATCATCATCAGGAAAAAATGAGAAAGACAGACAAAAAAAAAGTTCATCTTAGATGCAAAAAAAAGACTCTCGAAAGATAAAGCTGTAGAGGTGATTATCACTCATCATCATCGTATAAAAAGAGTGTTATTTGTTTATTTTCAATACAAGCAGTAGGTGTAAAATTAAACAAGATCGTTTTTTAAACAATCACACTCTTTTCTGAATGAATAGAAAAATATGGCAAGATAACGAAAGTTAATTCGAAAAAGTCTGAGAAAAGATAAGAAGAAAAACAGAATGTGGAATTTGTTGTAATGATAAAAAAAGAAAGAGAACAAATTAGTTTGCCCAGCACCAAATATCGACATATACAATGAAAAAATTTCAACTGTTTTTATATAGCGTTGAAATAAAAAAGAAAAAGTAGTTGCATGTTGTTATCTTCTCGACTTCTAATAAATAAATATATAGTCTAATGTAAAAGTGCTAAATGAATAATAATAAACAAATGTTCAATCAAGTGGCACGAATCAAAAACATCTTCGATTACGAAACATCTAAATGAAGAGAAGACATGTGTTAATTAGTTCGAGATAAATCATAGTTTGTGGTTTTAAACTAAGTCTTGTTTTATTCCCAAATTCAATTTAACTTTTTTGTAGATTGTGAGGCTCACTGGCTTAGTCCACGAATTCTACTATTATTATAAAACTATTATCACGAAGCAAAATTCGTTCATAAAGACTTCTAAATTTTTGAAAGATCAACATCCAAGCATACTAGGGAAATTGATGTAAACAGTCTCATATTACTTACAAGAAAACTGCAATTCCGAAAATCTTCTAGTTAATTGATCTTGGGTAAATCGAACAAAACTTTCATATTGTTCTACAAAAAAAGAAATGTCATAAAAAGTTTTCTAAAAATATGCATATCTAGATACAACACGTACGATTTAATTTCATAGCCAATATTCGATCATATTCTTCTCTTATTTTTTCTCCTCGTTCGTTTAGTAATCTTGCACATATTTCGTTAACTTGTTTTAATGATAATAAGGGTTGACTTTGAGCACGATCACGTTGTTGTCTACCATTACCATTGGATGATGTATTTGTCATTGATGCTGCTAAATCACCTGTGTTTTCTTCTTCAGATAAATCTGATGATGGACTTGAAGGTTGTTGTACTACTGCATGTGATTTCAACTGATGTCGACGATGTAAACGTTTTATTTCTTCTTTGATACGTTCTAATAAAGCATCTAAACAAATAAAATAAAAACTGAGTAAAATCTACTATGCTGTCAAAAAGTGAACAACTTACCTGAAGACATAACTGGTTCAATGTCAGGAAATGATGACTGATTCGTAGCAATTTCTGTTGCTGTATACATAGTCGAATCAAAATTGACGTTCGAATCGGGTGATTGTATTATTGTCATCGGAACACATCGTCGTCGTTTTGAGGCAGGAGATGGTGTTCGTGCTGATGGATGATCAACATGTTCAAGTGGTCGTTTTAACGTTAAGCATGACGCCATTTGAAATGAATATTAAGTAAAATATAAGTACACAAGGACCACAAATTTGAATCGGTAGAAAACACAAGCTATCTGGAACAGCAAAAGAATAGAATTCCTAATATGCATACAGTTAGTTTGCTAGCAAAGGAAATATTTTTTAAACCTTTGCACAACGACAAACAAAAAGCCACTTTTACTAACAGGTAGCAACATTAGATGCAATAGCGTCATTCCAGACTTCGATAGAAAAGCAGAAAACACAAAGGAACATAGTCACTCTACACTGTAAGATAAAGGAGAAAAATAAGTATAAGTTTTTTCTAGATTCATCTTCTTTTAATATTCGATTTGGACATTTTCTGCGAAACAGACAATCACACAACTATTATCAAAAACACAACAGCATTGTATGTGTAAATTGAAGCAGGAGTAGAAACAATATAGTGGTGGCTACATAATGAGAGCATCTTTATACTGCCATTAAAAAAGCACTTTAATTCCCGAAACTCTCCAATAATACTACATACCGTTAAATCTTTTTCGCTCATGAAGCAACGACAAGAGCACAAATTATAAACAAACTGTTCATTACTATAGGCTAGCAAACACCTTCCACAAATACGTAGACAAGCGACTAAAGATGGCGCTACCATCTTTCTAATGGGACTGAAAGGACAATCTCGAATAGAACATCCCGTGGTAAATCGTATTTAAGCCGACATCTTTCAATTTGTACATAAATGCTCAACTTAATCGTGTTAATACGGAAACCTAATTGTTTTTTTTCTTTTTGCTGGATACTAGGTCTAAAGTGTTAACACTTTAGTAACAGCCCTATACTAGTGAATGTATTTGAGTCAAGTACTTGCGCAAGTACTTGGGCTAAGTAATGAGGACTATACTTTATGACTTTTCCAAGTAAATTTACTTGCCAAGTACTTGACAAGTAAAACGTAAGTATTTAGCTGACAACGCAAGTAAATTTACGTGAAAAAGTTCACATCAGTCAAGTACTTGTTTCATTTATTTTTATTTTGTATTTTATGCACATTTTGGAGCTATACCCTACTTACCCTACTTTTGTAGAGCAAATAATGCACGGCTACTAAGTTTATTCAACTCAGTAGAAATGTATAAGTTTATGTTATAAGTGTATTGTACGATTGATATTGTAGTGTTTATATACAAGTGATCAATGCCAAGGAAAAGGATGACTGACTTGTCCAAGTATTTGGCTGAAGCCAGTCAAGTAACAACACTTGACAAGTACTTGCGAAGTGCTTAACTTATCACGTACTTTCCAAGTGGATCACTGAAGTAATCAAGTACTTGTACCAAGTACACTCACTAGGAAGTACACAAGAATAGATTAATTAATGCGGCTGTTTTGAAAACGTTCATTCGATATTTCGACCTGTTTATTCGGTAATTTTCAGCATATTAACAACAAAAAACAGTAACGTAACCTATACATGGCTCGTTGTTTTCTCTGACATGGATGGAAACATATGATACATTCCAGAGATCGAAAGAAGAAAAACAAGGAAAAGCAAGACCCTCATCTATTCAAATTTGAGAGATAAAAAATGGGTAGGGGTCTTGCTTTTCCATGTTTTTCTTCTTCCAATGTCTAGCATGTATCATATGTTTCCATTCATGTCAGAGAAAACAAAGAGGCATGTATAAGTTATGTTACTGTTTTTTGTTGTTAGTATGCTGAAAATGCGGTAGATGTCAGCTGAAAATCGGCGACATCGCGGCCAACGTGTCGGTCGATATAGCGCGACAAGTAGCCGACTTTTGGGCGGTTTTTTAGCATTTGAGACGACATATCGATGATTGTTTTGTTTCGTTTCTTGTAATTTATAGGTACTATGTTCAAATCTGTCCTAAGCATCTTTTTCCTAGTTTTTCTTGTACTCAAGTGAATGTACTCAAGTGTGAGTACTCAAAAAGTACTCTGCTAGAAAAACCGGACGAGTACTCATACGTACTCATACATTTTTTTACTCACTGAGTACTCACCTGAGTACTCATGAGTGAGTAACAA